TATATAAAATATGTAAAAGTACTGATTAATAAAATTTAGTTTAAAAAATAACAATGGAACATTAAAACATATATTTTAACTAACAATAAATGACAAAGTTTCTCAACAATATAATCATGAAATAAACTAATAATTTTGAAATTTTATAAGTTATCAAGAGTCGTACAACTAATAAAAATGTGCAAAAAGAATTCAAATGATGATATAATCAAGAAGGAAAAAATGTCTATAAATAACTCATATAAAACAAGAAATTTTTAAATTCAATCTAGGAGAAAATTTATCATATAAATCATATACAATCAAATAGCAGTTTGTTTAACAAAATAAATTTAAAAATAATAAGTTTAAAAAATTTCACATTTTAGTGGAAATTAATCAGAACAATTAACAAGTATGGACACACAATCCATGAAAGTAAGTCATCGACAAGCATGGCTTAAAGCCACGAATTAATCAAGTGTAAGTACAATGCTCACAAATATTCATCCCTCCATTCCACGTTCGTTGGCCTACGCATGGGACTAACATCTCATACAAGCACCTTACTAGTTAGAAATATCATGACGTGTTAAGAGCTAATGAAACTGTGTTAGCAACCAACATTTTGAACTCTATCTCCTTAATCAAAATCAAGCATGCACGGACCTAAACATCCATTTTAAAATCATTCTTTTCAAAATATAAGGTTTAACTATCAACTTTCCTTTCCAATATTTGTTTTCCATGCATGAATCACCATATTAATAGATTTCAAATCAAATATAAATGTTAAACAATAGGATTATTTTGAATAAATAATTGATTCATTACACATTGAATCCAATACATAACTTTCTAAAAAAATAGAATAATTTCAGTCATAAAACAATTGAATAAAAATAAAATAAGTATAGAGGACTATGTAAATCATAAAGAAAATAATAGCAAAGATTTTAAACAAAGTACTGGATAAAGATATTTTAAGAAAAAAATTTAAGAAAATTTACTTGGGATGCACTCATGTACCTAAAGGACTCTAAAGAATTATAAAAACTTGCTTCTCTTAACTTCTCACTTTAATTCTAATTATATCCTTAATTCTTGACAAATAAATCACAATCCTAAAATCATTTATTAAATAATTTTCTAACACTTGGTAGACATTCAAATTTGATTTAACAACATCACAATCTAAAATATAAAATCAATAAATTCATTTTTAATTAACTAACTTAATTAACAACCTAACTAAAACAAGAGAAAATATTTCCAACTCTTTTTGTACCTTCTTAAAACTTAATAAAATGCTACAACCATCATTTTTTTTAACATAATCTACCTTAGGTACTTTAGGATTTTAATTTAATGACTCAAATCACTACTTATACATGTCCCTTCAAGACTACTAATATGGAAATTGAACAATTTACATTCCGTCAAATTCTTCTTTTATACATTTCAAGCTTAGCACCACATTACTTATGGATGCAAACAATCACACATATGCTTCACTAAACTTTATGTAGAAATTAACTATTTTAATTTAACCAACTTTCTCTTTTAAGCATCTTAACAATCCAAATATACTTGAGTCAAATAAACTATTTGATATATCTTAATTCATCCTTCTACCTTATTGTAACCCATCCTAAATCATAAATGATAATAAATCATATCAACTAATCTTATGCTTCCTTTAAGCTTAATAAAGTATTATACAAACATTCTATATAATCTTTTATCCTAATTTGGTATTTTCAAATTTCAATCAATAGCTTAAGCCACTACCCACATACATTCTATCAAGTTATATTATGCAAATTTAATAACATTTTTCTTCAAGCATTTTCACAAAGACCTTAAGTGCATCAAAATTCAGTTCACAATAATAATCCAACAATTTAATCAATATTCAGTTCATTACCAAATTAAAACAATGCACAACATTAACCAAAATACAGTTTAATTTCCTCAAAATTATGACAGCAACTATGGGGAGGATGAGGATTCTTCGGCCAGTGAGAAGAGAGTGATTCATGTTGCTACAACCAGAAACTCACCTTAAATCAAAATATAATAGCTTCAGCCACACCTCAGCTCGAAGATGACACCAAAAGAGAGTAGAAAATCTTCGTCTATACTGTTCAAACGAGAAGGAGGAGGAGCAGAAAATCAGTGACGAAAAAAAAAAAAATAGAGAGAGACTTGAGCTCACCATACACACACGCACGATGTCCACTTGAGCATGAATCAATTCTTTTCAAGAAGTTCTATTGGAGCATGTCATTGAGATTTATCACAGGATTTGGAGAACTTTTAGCTTGATTCTTTTTAATCGCTCTTGGAGACATACCTACTTTAGATTTCTAAACAATTTAGCAAACACTATAGTTGTTTTGACCATGGTAAATATGACTAAATGCAATCGGTGTCTCAAAGGTTATTAGGTAATCAATCATATATACATCTTTTCTCTTATTTTTTCTATTTAAAGTTTATCTATATTTTTCTAAAAAAATACAACTATTATTTTCCCCCTTTCATTTCGCAGGAGAGACAAGGTTGAAGACCTCCAAGCTTACGATGGGATGGGATGCATACTATGCTGGACATATGACATGAACCGAATGTTAAAGCATGCATGGTGCTGTGCTCTTGAATACTATATGTTTTTTGTTCTATTAATATTGCAACCATTGTTTATGTGTTTTGTTATGTTGTTTTGAGTACGTTTTCTTAGGAAGCAACTTTTTTCCTTCTCACAAAACGTTGCATTGGAATAAATGCCATCTACTTTGAAGTCCATTAGATGTGCTCTCTCTCTCTCTCTATAGTATATATAGGTGTGCGTGTGTGAATGATGCAATTAACTTTTTTAAAAAAAGATAGACAAACTTCTAGGACATCCCCAATACATAGCAGATACATTCAAGATATTGCATAACGGTAAAAAATTTAGAAATTAGATAATGAAGCGTAAAGGCCGCAGTCTTGACGAATGATTTGATTCCTCATTATCCATATTATATTACTATATACTTCCTTCGTTTAAAAATATAAGGCATTTTAAAAAAGTTAGATGTTCAAAAATGTAAGGTATTTATAGTCTTTCAAAGTATAATCATTATCTTTTTTTCGAAAGAGCCTCTATTGAATACTCCATTCGTCCCTGTATATAAGAGGCCTTGTAAAATCTTTTTTATCCCTAAATATAAAAGGTTGTTAGAATATTTTTTTAATGAATGAACTATTATACCCTTATTAAATTGAAAAGAGAAAAAGATAAGTACTCTTATTAATTTACTTTAAAAAAAGAGATTCATTTTTTTATTTACAATAATTAAGGAGAAAATTGAAATGTTGCTATGTTTTTATTAAATAACTAAATTTTATTAATTTACGTGATTCAATTAAAAATATCTTATATATAGGATAGAGGAAGTATATTAATTTATATTTTTTTAAAGTGAAATATTCTATTAAATATAGATAAATATAGAAAGATAGTATTAGTTTAAAGATAAGTAATTATTTTATTAAAATGTGAAATTTAGTTAAAAATATTTTATATTTTTAAATGGAGGGAGTATTTGACAGAACAATGATAGATTTGCTCATCAATATTAATGGATCATTTCTTTGTTCCAAACGGATGAAAGTATCCAATAACCATCCTTTAATGCCTTCCTCTGGAAAATGTGTCAGAAAAAAGAACAGTGTTGTAAACATTTCATTCCCACTTTTTGTATAAAGATTCACTTGGTTCAATTCATTCTAAGAGTTATAATTAAGAAGCAGAGATTTCAGCCAATGTTTTTTTTTTGTTGGCCAAAAATAATTTCGTCCTCTATTTTTGATAAGCCTAGTTACGCAACTTAAATAATCTCCCAACCAACATGATTTTATGACAATGATTAAAGTTTAAAGTGAATTCTAATTACTCGACTAGAATCTAAAATCTACTATGAAACTCCCAATTAATTAAAATCTAATGATAGTGCACTTAAAAAATGCAACCTAGGATGAAACCTCAGTGAATGCAATTACTTATGACATGGACTCTTTATGACGCATTTTTTTTTTGAGGTTAGATATTCAAAAATATACTTCTTTCATTAAAAAATGCAAGACATTTTTAATTAAATCTCACCCCCTAATAAAATAGTTACCTATTTTTAAACAACCTTATCTTTTCATATTTATCCATATTAAACATCCTACAATAAATATAAAGTCATTATTAATAGGGGCACTTTTAAAAAAAAAGGTAATAATTATACCTCGAAACACTAAAAATGCCTTACACTTGTTAATCTCCAATTCGTCAAAAAATACCTTATATTTTTGAATAAAGAGAGTAATTCCTTGTATTTTCAATTTTTGTTGTTAAAAATTTTTTTGCAATACAATTTTAAACAATTATTTTAAAAGAAAACAAAAATATATTTTTGATTGTATTAATTTAAAAATGGTATTAAAAAAATTGGCCAATGGTAATAGTTACCGACGATTAATGGAAGTGGTATATAATAATGATTGGTCAAAGTGAATACAGTTTTCAATTATCAAATATATTACACATAAAACAAAAACAACTTTAAAATGTTTTTATTTAAAAAAAACAATAAATGAGAATAGTTTTTTGAAACAATTAGATTGAAAAGACCCCTATCCAAACAAGTTTTTTTTTATATTTTTTGTTTTTATAGTATATAAAATTAAGTATATAAATTTTCTCCAAATGTAAATAGTTACTTGGAATTTAACTTGTAAGACTAGAATGAATAAAGTCCACGTTGTAGTTAACGGCTTATTAAGCTCATAATAAATATTAAGAACTCGTAAAATAAAATAGGTTGTTTAATTGAGCACTCGTGGTTTAATCAATTGTGGGATTGTTGATAATAAATTTAAAAAACAATCACACAATACTAAGAAAATTAATATAAAAAAAATCACTCAATTGGAAATTGATGGGTCCGTGTGATAATGAAAGAAAAATCCATGAAAATCCAGCATTTACTCGGCTGGCTAGAAGGCCCACCAAAGAAAATATATATTTATATTCCGTGTTCAACTGATGAGCCTAGGAATTACAGAAATACAAATTTAAGATGTGAATCCAAGCTAAATGGCAATAACAAACAGCTGGGCTTCATAATTTAGGCTTCATAATCAAGTTAGCAAATTCTTTCTCAGCATAAAACTCCGCCACTATTGGATTCCCTGCATAATTTCGTCCACTCAACTGAGCTTGTGCCATTGTTGCACCACCCACATCAGCATACTCCAAAAACACCTACAGGTACATACATACATACATACATAGGCTGCGTTAATAACTTGTACGAGGAAAAACAAAGCATCAATCAAACTCTTCATTAACTTGGGGTTGCCAGCCAACAAGTCACATCTTTTAGTGCTTGTTTGGTTTTACGCTTGAAAACATAAACTTGTTTTTAAACCAATCCATCTAGACACATGCTTTTCCATTAACTAATTAATGTGTATCAGAACTCAACACCAATAAAACAAACACACCAAAGCAGTTTACGCATACTAAACCTTGGCTTAAAGAAGCCCAAAAAAAAAAAAAGGCCATCATGTAACATTAATGTTTTTTTTCAAAGCGGGACGCACATACATGCACACTCAGGATCTCTTCCAAGCAAGGAAGTAGTGTTGCTGCTAAGATAACTAACCGTTGACAAATAAAATATATGTGAAGGACATTCAGAGGCTAGAATTAGTACTAATCAGCACCAAGGGACTATTTTAAAAGATCATGAACATACCTTTCCAACTCCAGGTGGTGATGGTTCCCAATTGGGTCGGGGCCGAGGTATCACCACATTAACCAAAGTACCTGCAGATGATAAAAAGTGGTCAATTACGTACAGAGAAAAAACAAAATTACTAAATTTATTCTGTCAAATCAAGCAAAATTGAAGATTATTGATGGAAGATGGAGGCTTCTGTCTTTAATTATGTGCTAGGCCTGATGGTGATGATGTGTGAATACAATTGTAGCTGTAAAACAAATAAACAAAAAAAGAAAAAAAATTACTATATATGCATATAACAGCCTGCAGAATTAAAGAGAGACAAGCAAACTAAACCAGACGTTACCATATTTGGATCCCTCTCTTCTCATATCATCTACAATATCTTCATAGTCCTTATCATCTTTCAGATCAGTAGTAGATATAGCCTGACTTATACGAACAACCTTCGTTGCCACTGATTCTGGCTGAAGCGTGAGTCTGAGGAATATAATAGAGATCAGTCAGTTAGAATACGATAAAACACACATACATAAAAGATATATTTGATTATAGCAGTGAATTCAATACCATCAAATACGTACCTGTAGTGCATGAGTTAATCTGCCTTCTTGCTCAGGTTTTGGCGCTCGTCTAAGTATGAGCGTCTTGTCTCCAAATTTTATTCCATTCATAGCAGCACAAGCAATATCTGTTACCACAGGATCTTGATAAGCACAGAATGCATAACCCTTTGAAATTCCTGTATCTCTATCTTTCACCAATTCAAAGCCCCGAAGTGGACCAAAAGTCTCTAGAAATGTCCTGATCTCTGCTTCTCTAAAGTAATCAGGAATACCACCCACAAATAAACGGTCAGGACCATCAAGTCCATCAGCAGCAGCAGATATACCCTGGCTTAAACTAGCAACCTTCGGCTTCGTTGCCGCTAATTCTTGTGGAAACATGACTCTCTAAGGAATTTAAGAAACATCAATCAGTTACGATATGATCAAAAAACACAAACCAAGAATATATTTGATAAGAGAATATCATCGAATACCTGTAGTGCAGGTTTTGGCTGGTTTTCAGCTTGATAAGCTCGTCTAACAGTAAGAGTCTTATCTCCAGATTTTATTCCATTCAGAGCAACACAAACAATATCTGTAACTGCAGGATCTTGATATACACAGCATGCTCGAGTATCTCTATCTTTCACCAATTCAAAGCCACGAAGTGGACCAAAAGTCTCAAGAAATTCCCTGATCTGTGTTTCTGTAATGTAATCAGGTAGACCACCCACAAGTATAGCATCAGCACCATCAAGATTCTTGTTGAGAGCCATTTGCATCTGACAATGAGATCTTCGTCAAACAGATCTTCTTTCAATTTGCTCACGTACGCTTCTTGACTTTAATCGCTTTCCTAACCTCTATTTATAAAGGCTAGAGGGTTGTTTTGCCTTTTATATAAGATATTTAGAAAATCTAATAATGAGATTAGTTAAATCTTGATCTTGATAAATATGTTATTTATTTAATATCTTGAGATAACATTGGGATATTGGGATCTCGTTATTTCTCTAGTTTATTTTTGGAGATAAAGATATATTTTAAGATAATTCAATGATATAGTGACTTTTATTATTTTTCTAACTCCTTTAATTTCTTTTGAATTTTCTTGAGGATAATTGATTATAGATATATAGATTTTGTTTTATTTAAAAAACTCAATTAAAGAGAATAATCTTCACAAATAGTCGTAGTCCCCTAATTTCCTCTTAAAAATTCAAATGTACACAATAATCTTTAAAGCAGATTTGACACTCCAAATTTTTTCATTGCTTGCTCTCTTTTTATTGGTTTTTTGTTATTTTTATTATTTTTATCTTTATTTTATTCAAATAAATGAACAAAATACGATTTTCACAATCTTCATTGTATTGTAGGAGGATTCTTGCAATTCAGTGATATGAAATCATTAGTTTCTTATGATTTTGTTCCACAAAAAGTAAGGATGGAATTCGGTTTTAAATCTCAATGTTGCATGTATTATCAAAGTTTTAAAAATTAAATCAATCATTGAATCAATTAAAATATTAGTTCACGGTTTAATAGTTCAACCATAATCAAACCATGGTTGAACCGTTGTAATTAAATAATTATATATATAGACACATATTATATTATCTTTTATTTATTAAGATATTACATAAAAATAAATAAATTTAATAATAGAAGTAAAATGAAATATAAAAATAGTGATAAATATTTAAAATTGTATATTAAATTTTATCTTATGATGTATTTTTTTAATATGCATTTTAATAATGCTAGCGTAGCCTAATTTTATCGTTAAGTGATTTCAATTTTCTTCTTCCAAAGCACATTGAGAAATAAAAAAGCATCTGAACCTCATTCAAGTTTCATTGGTTAAAAAAAAAAAAACCTTATTCAGTAGTTTTGTGTAGAACAATTAAACCTGTTGGACTATGAAATTCCAAAACCAAGGGTACATTCCCCTGTATTTTATTATGAAAGTTTTAAAAATCAGATCTACCATTAAATTAGTTAAGATATTGGTTCATAGTGTAATAGTTCAACTGTAATCAAATCATAGTTAAACCGTTATAATTAAATAATTATATATATATGTATTATCTTTTATTTACATAAATTAAGATATTACATAAAAATAAATAAATTTAATAATAGTAATGAAAGAAATATAAATAAAAAATAATTATAAATTTAAAATTCTATATTAATTTTTATCTTAAAAAATTGTTATAATATATATTTTTTAAGATGCATTTTAATAGTGTTGGTGTAAGACTAATTCTATCATTAAATCATGTCAATTTTCTTCTTCCAAAGCACATTGGAAAGAGAAAAAATCATCTGCACCTTCTTCAAGTTTCGTGTATAGCAATTAAACCTGTTGGACTTTGAAATTCCAATACCAAGGGTACCGTTCTCTGTCTTTTATTATTAAAATTTAAAAAATCAGACCAACCATTAAAATATTAAAGTATCCGTTCATTATTCAATAAATTAATTATAATTAGCGGTGGAGGGAGAGCGACTAGCAGGTGCCGCAGCCTTTCCATTTTTTAAAATTTTTTTTTATGTTATATAAGTATTATATACTTTCAGTTTTCTTAAAATTTAAAAAAACTTTATAATATTTATGTTTTTAAATTTTGGCCTTCCTTATTCTGAAATCTTGGTTCTACCCCTGACCATAATTAAACCGTAGTTGAACCGTTATAATTAAATGATTATATATATGTATTATCTTTTATTTACATAAATTAAGATATTACATAAAAATAAATAAATTTAATAATATTAATAAAAAATAAAAAACAGTTATAAATTTTAAAATTATATATTAATTTTTATCTTAAAAAATGGTTATAATATATTTTTTAATATGCATTTTAATAGTGTTAGTGTTAGACTAATTTTATCATTAAATCATTTCAATTTTCTTCTTCCAAAGCACATTGAGAAGATAAAAAAACAAAAAAGCATTTGCACCTTCTTCAAGTTTCGTGTAGAGCAATTAAACCTGGTGGACTTTCAAATTCTAATACCAGTGGTACTTTCAAATGGTTGTTTTGACTTTTGAGATAAGATATTTAGAAAATCTAATAATGAGATTACCTAAATCTTGACCTTGATTTTTTTTTTACCAGAAATCTTGATCTTGATAAAGATATTATTTACTTAATATCTTGAGATAATATTGGGATATTGGGACCTCGTTATTTCTTTAGTTTATTGGAGATGAAGATATATTTTAAGATCAGTTAATGATATAGTGATTTTTATTATTTTCCTAACTCCTTCAATTTCTTTTTCAATTTTCTAGAGGATAATTGATTATAGATATATGGATTTTGTTTTATTTTAAAAACTCAATTTCATAGGAATAATCTTCACAAATAGTCCCCTAATATCCACTTAAAAATTCAAGCATTCAGATTTAAAGAAGTTTTGACCCTCTATTTTTTTTTCCCATCGCTTGCTTTTTTTGTTATTTATTATTTTTTATCTTTATTTTTATTTAAATAATTAAATAAACAAAATACGGTTTTTACAATTTTCATTGTCTTAAAAAAATATGTTATCAAATCCCATATGAGAGTGAATTTGTCTGTTAACGTACAAAAGTGAATTAGGCTGGGAATATTGTAGGAGGATTCTTACACTCCAGTGATCTGAAAATTATTAGTTTCTTATGATTTTATGCCATAAAAATTAGGGATAGAATTGGTTTTTTTTTTTGGAATAAAAAGGCCACGAAAACACTATGCAGACATGTTATGTCATGTTAGCATACAAAAAATCCCTACATCCCAAGGGAGGAGTATCAAAGATTTGAACATTGAAATTTTCGGTAGGAGTTTGATGAGCCAACCAGTTTGCACATTTGTTTTCCTGCCTATAGACATGATTAAAAGTAACTGTCTAGTCTCTCATAATGAGATCTCTAATTTTGTTGATAGTAACAATTAACAGGTGATTAGTAGAGAACTCGTTGCGTATTAATGTAAGGGCTTTCATGGAATCAGAGTAGACATGAACTTTGTCTATCTTCTTCTCCTAACAAATGTTTAGTCCTTCCATTAGTCTCAAAAGCTCAGCTCTTGTAAACGGATGGTAACCAAGATACTTGGAGAATCTTTTGATCCAATTCTCATATTCATCTCTTATGAGCCCATCGCAAGAAGTAGCACCTTGATTATTAACTGAGACATCAATATCAAGTTTAACCCATCCATATCTAGGGTATAACCATTTAGCGTTTGTTCTATCGTCCTTTTGGTTTAGAAAATTAATTTTAGATTAAAGACATATAACATTAAGAATATTCTGAATGCTAGTAAAAACGAAGTCTCTCTCAGAATTGAATTAGATTTTAAATTTAGATGTTCGATGTCATATTATTATTTCAGTCAAAGTACTTTTTTTTGTGCACTGGAATAAAGTACATTTTTTTATCAACGTTAAGAAATTTAGAGTGGCCATTAAACTGGTGAAGACACAAAGTTCACAATTGTAAATGGTCGCATTATGGCTTGTGATAGATCTAAACGATCATGAATAATTATATTTTAAGTAATATATGTTTAATATAAAAATAAATAAATGTGTATAATAATAATAATATGAATATTGAATTTTAAACAAAAATATATATAATAAAAAAATCCACCAATATTCCATCATTTTCACACAAAACAATATATACTTAGGGTAAATGAGTAAATTAATTACCTCTTTAACTTTAAGTCTAAGAGCACCATAAATCCTAAACTTATTTATTATACAAATTATTTATCCAACTTTTAAAACAGTATAATTTAATCCTTGACATTAATAAAAGTTAAATTTGACCGTTAGTTGATTATAAAATAATAGAAAAGTACATCAAAAATTATAAAAAATGACTAAAATTTTATTATCCTTTTATGTAATTTTTTGAGTTCTTTATTGTAGTTTTTTGGATTATTTTCTATAATTTTTGAGGTACTTTCACTTTCTTGTTAAACTAAAAGTTAAAGTTGGCTGAACCATATTACATTATTTTTAAAAATTAAGGAAAAAATTGTATAATAAATGAGTTCAAGATCTATAGTACTATTTATTTTTATAAATAAAAATAAATAAAAATGTATAATAATAGGCTAAAGTAAACTTTGGTCTTCTAATTTTTCATAAAATTTTATTTTGATCCTTTAATTTTATAAAATATATATTTTTAATCTTTTAATGCTAAAACCATTAGTTTTAAATGAATATTTTTTGTGCTAATTATTTTATTTAAAAAAATTAAAAATAATAAATTAGTGTTTGAAAATATTTTTTTAATATTTAAAAGTTCAATCTAAAATTTTTTTGTGATGAAACTAACGATATTAAAGTTGAAGGATTAAAAATAAACTTTTTAAAATTAAGGGACTAAAATAAAATTTTATATAAAGTTAAAATATTAAAAGTATACTTTAGCCAATATAATAAAAGTGAATGTTTAATTTTTTTAAAAAATAATATATAATAAAAAAATCCACCAATATTCCATCATTTTCATTAAAAAAAAAAAAACACACACACACACACAGAGTTTTAGGGTAAATGAGCAAATTACCCCTTAAATTTTATTGGACATAATTACTTATGATATTATGTTTAGTTTAAATTTTGATAATGACAAATATATTTTAGTTAATTATATGCATTAGTTGTTTTAACACACACACATGGTAGTTAACTATAACTATAGAATAAGGGCATTGAAGTATTTTTACATATATCTTTTCATGTTGCATGAGATTTGAAAATATGGTTAATGTGCATAAAAGTTATTTTATCCTATCAACTATCATATTTTTTTCTTATCATAA